TACAGTTGCTTTACAATGTTAGTTTCTGCTGTGTAACAGCATGAATCAACTGTAAGTATACACACATCCCTTCCCTTTTAGACTTTTCACCCCACTCCTCTGGGTCATCACAGAGCACTGAGCTGAGTTCCCTGTGCCCTACAGCGGCTTCCCAGCAGCCATCCATGTTACACATGGCAGTTAGTGTATATGTGTCACTCACAACCTCCCAATTCACCCCACGCCCCATTCTCCCCCAGTCCGTGGCCACACATCTGTTCTCTACATCTGGGCCTCTATTTCTGCTCTACAAATAGGTTCATCTATACCATGCAAAGATGGGCACAATAAAGGACAGAAATAGCATGGATCTAACAGAAGCAGATGTTAAGAAAAGGTATTAAGATATTAAGACTATCGTAATAATTCTTTAAGAATACAACAGAAGAACTATACAAAAAAGATCTTCATGATCCAGATAACCATGATGGTGTGATCACTCAGACATCCTGGAATGCAAAGTCAAGTGGGCCTTAGGAGGCATCACTACGAACAAAGCTAGGTGATGGAATTCCACTTGAGCTATTTCAAATCCTAAAAGATGATGCTGTGAAAGTGCTGCACTCAATATGCCAGAAAATTTGGGAAATTCAGCAGTGGCCACAGGACTGGAAAAATGTTGGTTTTCATTCGAATCCCAAGCAAAGGCAATGCCGAAGAATGTTCGAGCCACGGCACAATTGCACTCATCTCACATTCTAGCAAAGTAATGCTCAAAATTCTCCAAGCCAGGCTTCAACAGTACGTGAACCGTGAACTTCCAGATGTTCAAGCTAGATTTAGAAAAGGAGGAGGAACCAGAGATCAAATTGCCAATATCCACTGGATCACTGAAAGAGCAAGAGAGTTCCAGAAAAACATCAACTTCTGCTGTATTGACTATGCCAAAGCCTTTGACTGTGGGGATCACAACAAATTGTGGGAAATTCTTAAAGAGATGGAAATATCAGGCTACCCTACCTGCCTCTTGAGAAATCTGTATGCAGGTCAAGAAGCAACAGTTAGAACTGGACATGGAACAACAGACTGGTTCCAAATTGGGAATGGAGAACGTCAAGGCAGTATATTGTCACCCTGCTTATTTAACTTCTATGAAGAGTACATCATGCGAAATGTTGAGCTGATTGAAGCACAAGCTGGAATCAAGATGCCAGGAGAAATAAAATAACCTCAGATATGCAGATGACACCACCCTTATGGCAGAAAGTGAAGAACTAAAGAGCCTCTTGATGAAAGTCAAAGAGAAGAGTGAGAAAGCTGGCTTAAAACTCAACATTCAAAAAACTAAGATCATGGCATCTGGTCCCATCACTTCATGGCAAATAGATGGGGAAGCAACACAAACAGTGACAGACTTCATTTTGGGGGGCTCCAAAATCACTGTACATGATGACTGTAACCATGAAATTAAAAGATGCTTGCTCTTTGGAAGAAAAGCTGTGACAAACCTAGAAAGCAGATTAAAAAGCAGAGACATTACTTTGCCAACAAAGGTCCATCTAGTCAAAGCTATGGTTTTTCCCGTAGACATGTATGGATGTGAGAATTGGACCATAAAGAAGACTGAGTGCTGAATCGATGCTTTTGAACTGTGGTGTTGGAAAAGACTCTTGAGTCCCTTGGATTGCAAGGAGATCCAACAAGTCCATCCTAAAGGAAATCAGTCCTGAATATTCATTGGAAGGACTGACGCTGAAACTGAAACTCCAATACTTTGGCCATCTGATGCAAAGAGCTGACTCATTGGAAAAGACCCTGATACTGGGAAAGACTGAAGGCAGAAGGAGAAGGGGGTAACAGAGGATGAGATGGTTGGATGGCATCATCGACTCTATGGACATGAGTTTGGGCAAGCTCTGGTAGTTGGTGATGGACAGCAAAGCCTGGCATGGTGTACAGTCCATGGGGCCGCAAAAAGTCAGACATGACTGAGCGACAGAAATGTACCATTTTTCTAGATTCCACATAAATGAATTAATATATTTTTTCTGACTCAATTCACTATGACACATTTTCTAAATGTCATTTGACACTAGTTACTTTTGTTAAAAGAATCTTTCAATGACAAGTTTTTAATTATCATGAACACTAATTTTAGATCTTTTATGGTCACTGCTTTCTGTGACCTAAGATACTCACCTGTTGTTTTCTTATAAAAAGCTTTGTATTATAGCTATTCCATCTAGGTCTGGGATTCACCTCAAAATCATTTTTGTGAGGTAGGAGATCACAGTTCATCTTTTCCATGGGAATATTCAGCTCTTCTGGTTCCATTTGTTGAAAAGAGTTTCCTTCTCTGTTGGATTACTTTGCTATCTCTGTCAAAACTCAAGTAACCTTATAAATACAGATTTGGTGGCTAAGTGGTATAGAATCTGCCTGCCAATGCAAGAGACTATGGATTCAATCTGGGTCAGGAAGATCCCCTGGAGAAGGAAATGGCAACCCACTTCTGCATTCTTGCCTGGAGAATTCCCTGGACAGAGGAGCTGGGCAGGCCACAGTCCATGAGGTCGCAGAGTCAGGGACAACTTAGCAACTAAAGGACAACAATGCCAGTAATCACACTGTCTTTGATCACTGGATACTATTTACTACAATACTCTTAGCATTGCTTTTCAAAATATATAAAGTTGAAATAAATGTATAGATCAAGACAAACCTAAAGTAATCCTTATGAAATCATTTTTAAACTCTATCATGGTTTTGAAAACATTCCATAATCACTATTGTATCCAAAGCAAAATCTATTTACTCATGAACAAACGAAAAACTGTAAGTTTTCTTTATCATCTTTAATTGAAATTATGTATGAAAAATATTTCATTAATTTTACTACTCAATTTCCCACCAGGTTTTCTCACATTATTTTAAAAATACCACAATATAGTAAGCATAAAAACAATCCTTAGGCAGTGCGCTTGGCTACTTGTGGATGTGTCTCTTATTTAAACAGTGTTTGGACAGAACAGACCTAGAGACGCCCCCGTACTCCAGCTCTCGACCACCCTCCAAGCTTTAATTCAGTTTCAACCCTCAGAATCAGTCACTCGGTGTCCGGAACCAGCCAACTCTATTTTTTTAACTGAACTCCTTGTTACCGGAATAGTCATGAGATCCGGGATTCATCCGATTCCACCGACGGAGAGACCATAGTTCACCACCTGTCAACATGCACCTGCAGGTCTCCTACACTTACCTCTCTGGGCTTCTGCTCCCACCGCGACAATGTGGTTCTGGAGAGTGTGGGCCACTTTTTCTGTGAATTGGCCAAGATGAAGCATCAGGGCCCCCAGCGACTCTTGAAGGGTGCAAAACCATTGGGGCAACCACACCCTCTTCCATGAGGTGCAGAAGCCATCCCAAGATGAATGAGGCAAAACCCAGGACACTATGAACCAGGCCCTTCTGGGTCTGTGTGCCCTGGGTTCTGCCCAGGTGGACTCCCACCTCTGTGACTTTCTGGAGAGCCACTTCCTAGACGAGTGGGTGAAACATCCAGGAGATAAGCCACCGCCTCGCTAACCTCCCCAGGCTGGCCCGGATGAGTATCTCTTTGAGAGGCTCACCCTCGAGCACAGTTAGGAGACCCTGGAGCCCAGTGGCCTTTGAGGAGCTCCACTAGTGTCAGGACTTCTGCCTAAAGCCCCTCTCTGCAGCCACTAGGCAGTTTTTTAACCACCCTGGGGCCCTCTTCCAAGCCTTGGACCAAATGGAAGCAATAAAGCTTTTTGCAGCAACAACAAAAAAAATCTTTAAAAATTCATATGTCTCAAATTAGAGGATACATACAGTCTCTCTACATATATTTAAATTTTTCCATAATAAAATACTAAAGAGTCATGAATCAGTTTTATAAAAGTATTAGTAAAGAAAAAAGTAGATTATTTCCTTTATAAATAGAAGTTTTATAAAATTTCCTTTAAAGTTTAACTCAAAAAAGAAGATTAAGAGCAAGAATACAGTATCATTTTATAAAATAAAGAACAAAGCAATTCTCCAAAGCAATAGCAAATTCCATTGTGGGCAAACTATAGTGGCTCTTATAAACTACTGGGCTGTACTAATTTTGTTCAAATTGGCAAACAAGGATCTTCCATCACTACCATCACCTTTATTATAAAAAAGCAGGTAATAGCCAAAATTGACCAACCTTTGATTTTTTATAAAGATAGAGCTTACCAGCTTGAAAAAATGTTGCCAAACTGAGTAACACCCAAAATCTTGAAGATTTCAATTTGCTCTTCACCTAAAATTTTGCTTTGACGCATAATACACCTTCCTGAAACAATTCTACAATACATAAATAATTCCAAACACTGAAAAAAGTTTGCTAAAATAAAATTGGGATGTTTATTACTTTTTCTACTGGTAGCAATGAAAATCACTAGAAATTATACTTTTGTTCTTTTCAAATGATCTGCTTAAAAATCAAGCTTTTTTAAATAATTGATATAGAAGATAAAATCATTTTTAAATCTTCAAAATACTTAAGATACTATAAGATAGAAATATTGATTTTTTTCCATTAATGATGAGAAGAAAAGAGATTCAGTTTAATCAAGATCTGACATTTATAAATATTAAGCATTTAACCGAGCTGGAAGATTGAATGAAAGATTAATTATAACAATTACAGGTAGAGAATAGCATTTGTCCATTTTCTAGGTTCATTATGACAGTTATCTATCCAGAGAACCAACAGGAGTTCTCAGATCCAATGTCAAATAATGGAATTTGGGCAAGTGCTCTGAACACTGCTTTTATTTAGTACGCATCACATGCACATGATGCAGGTAGGGAGAGTTTATGAATCCATGCATTAAAGACAAGACAGACTGGTACTATTGCCATACGTGCACTGAGTCAGTGAGAAAGTTGCTCAAGGTTCTTTATACTTAATGGTTTCCATGAAGATAAGTGCAGAAGCAGAAATGTATGCACATCCCAAAGCGTCCTCTTCATTTGGTTTCCTGTGCTTTCTTTGCATTCTGCTTTTCTTTTGCCTAGAAATTAAAGATAGCACACAATAACATCTTAAAAGTATGTTTCAGTTCATATTAAAATGTGTCTAAGAGGACACTCTTAAGCTAAAATGCTTGAGATACATTGTTTATAAGATGTCTAAAGTATTATCTTTTATAACTTGAGACTCACAACAAACTCCTCCTGGACAATTATATAGTGATTCTTTGTCCTCAATAAAAAAGGATCATATTTGGTTTGCAGTTATTTCTTACCTGAAGTTAAAAATGTATTATTATAATGATAATAATTTTAAACTAAAAAATTACTCATTCCATAAAGTCATATTCATTCATAACTATTCCACAACAATATATTTACGTATGTGTCCATTACTCATACAAACCAAGTATAATAAAAGTCCTACACTGATTTCTGGATATTTGAATAAATGAGTTTAACATAATAGTTTAAATGAGTTTAACTTAACTAAAAGGATCAGATACCTGTAATGTTGATAAACCTCACTAAAATGACTCAAAAATCATTTTCAAGAGTTGTTCACTTGAAACTCATAACAAGTATAGAGCTTGAACACAGTAATTCTATTTTACTTTTTAACAGATGAGGAGGCCAGAGCTAACAAGTGTTATCAAACTAATAACCTGGGAACCATGTCAAAATGCAGACTAACTCAGTAAAATGCCTGAGGATCTAAATTTCTAACTCTCAGGTGATGCCAATTCTGCTGGCCCTCAGGTGACACTTTAAGAAGCAACATTTTACAAGATTAGAATATAATGTTCTTTTCACTATGGCACTTGAATCAGAAAGGAACAAATAAATTAAACCCTTGATATTATACAATTAAGGAAAAAAACCTTCCTTGATTAGAACTATAACCTTTTTTATATTGCATTAGGTAATAAAATTCTTATACAACTGTATGATAAAACTGAGTGCTATGCCTTACAATATATTAAAGTAAATATGTTGTATGTACCATACAGTTTTTTAAACTGCATATGTAAACATTTTCAGTTAACAAGAATAATTTGTAATTTGATGCATATGATTTCTCAAAGAAGTTTTCTGTTTCCAAATAATAAAAACACAATTCCATTTTTTATGTAACTGGGAAATAAAAATGTGTACTTCTTTTCTTAATGATGTCTGAATACACAGGTACCTTACTAGGATTAATAAGAATGAATTAACTGGTTAATAACAAATTTTACAACATAATTAAATAACCAAAGACATGTAGAGTATCCATTCATGTATTAAAATATATAATTCAGATAAAACTAAAGGTAAGTTAAATAAATAAGTTAAAAATAATTATATACCTTGACCAATAAGATCTCATTTAATCCCCGAGTATGATCCCCAAATTATACATGAGGAAATAGATTCTATAGTAAAATAAATAACTTACCTAAAAGCAACAGCTAACAATAAATAACATTTCTGAGATTTAAACCAAAAGTTTGTATTCTGGCCTTTACTGAAGCATAAGAAATACTGTATTCCAAAACAGCATTGAAAAAATGTTCACTGTTCAGAAATATGTTCCTTCTATTTACTGTGCTATTGAGATATTAAAAATTGTTGACTGAAGTCAGGTAATTCTGTAATCATAGGTATTAATATAGATATTATTGTGAACAACTTAACTATGTTCTACCTTGTTTCTATTAAGGGATAGAAAAAGTAAATTCTGTACATCAGTTATTTATTACAAGTTGAATTATAATGTCTTTGTAAAATTTGGACAAAATTCAATACTATGAGGCTGCTCTGAATCCCCCACAGTAACAAAATCTATGATTTTAAATTATGGTAGGTATTGGTGGTTAGTAAAAACCTGAGAGAGACAATGATTCAGAAACACATATAAAAGTTGGGATAAAATTTTTAAAGAATTATAAGTATATCTGAATAAATAAAAGTTTCACAAGTGAAACATTAATCTGCTGATTTTATTTCATACTTTAAGGAACAGATTTGATGTATGGCACAAGAAGTTTTATAACTATACATTTTTACATTACCTCCTGAGCAGTTTTTATGTAACATACACTCAAGGAACTCATCAGATAAGAATAGAAGCTTCACAGAACAAGAACACTTATAAGGCAAGATCTTAACCTAATTCATTAAGGGAACAGGCCCTTGAGAAAATCAAAGTCTGCACTCTTTATTATTTTGTAAAATGAAAAGATTTTCACAGCTCAAATATTTCCAAGCCATCACAGGCAGTAAGTAAATGCCACTGTTCTCAGAAATCTGATCCTGGACAGCTTTAGCTCTTAGCAACTCTGCCACAACTTCCTGTTCGGTTCCTTACACATTTTGTCCCTAATTTTTCTATCACTTGGCATTGTGGGGAAGAGGGGTGGGTTTCAATGTAATAATCCATTTCTGAACTCTACATGTAGTTTTTTCTTAGAAGTGTTACTTAATTTATTAAGTAATTTTCACTACTGAAATCTTTATATTGGATATAACTATAAAATTTAATCTTGATCTGTTTTTAATTTTTAATATTTGCAGTTATCAGCAGAAACTGATATTTCAGTATGATATGATTTTTCAAAATAAGATGAACAAAAATATATTTATACTAAAGAAGCTGATTCACTGGTCGAAATTAAGCATCTAATTCTAACCACAGACTTAAAAATTTGAGGATATGAAATTTTAAATGGCATAAAGTTAATATTTAGGAGCTACCCTGTGCTTGCCCCAGAATCTCTAGCATGACTTTATTCTGGCACTTATCAGAATAATACTATACAGCACAGTACTATAATTATGTATTCCTATCCTCTCCCCAACTAGGTTGCTTAAGACAAGAGATGTGTCTTAATTATGTGTACATCTGTTGACTTTAACAGACTGCTTCAAATACAGTTTCAGTTAGATAAATGTTGGATAATCAAAACATCTCAAAAACTCCAATCAAATAATGAATCTGAATTCCCTTCAGAATCTATGCACATAACAGATGGTGCATATATACAAGAAATAAATGTATCTCAATATTGCCTGGGCAGTATTATTAGTCAAAGAACAAGAAAGTCAGAAACTACTCTTTCAGTGAAACACAGACGAAGAACAGACTGGGTTGGTGTTCCACCAACACCAGGCATTCACATACCGCCACCCTGTGTCCAAAATAATGTGAACCAAGGAATTATGGTTCCAATGCAAAAGCTGAAAAGGTGTTTTAACTATGCTTTCAAAAAATTATGGAAATACACTGTCATTAAAGTCATATAAAAATAGTCCTATTCTTAAACTGCACAAAAAAGTTTACTCATGGACCAATTTTAAAGCAAAATACATACATTTAAAATTTCTCTAAAGTATTTATCTGGTCCCTGATAATACTTATCTATATTTAATAACAGATATATCATACAATTTGCCACAGCAGTCTATATTCTAGTATTTTCAACAGAGAAATATTTCACAGTGTTTCATACAAAGAATATTAATATTTAGATATTTGGCAGGACCCTAACTGTTAATCTAAACCTTTAAAAGTTAGTTTCACATCTTGGACTTTTATGATTTTTACTACCTTGAGATACATAAATAGAAAAAAATCTATATGGATGCAGAGAAGATTTAGCAGTGTTCCTGCAACAATTTTACTTTTAATGCTAAAAGCTGAAGCATATGATCATATGCCTCAGACCTCCTTGGTAATTCAGGCTTCCCTGGTAGCTCAGCTGGTGAAGAATCCACCTGCAATGCAGGAGACCCTGGTTCAATCCCTGGGTCGGGAAGTTTCCCTGGAGAAGGGACCGGCTACCCACTCCAGGATCCTTGGGCTTCTCTGGTGGCCCATACAGTAAAGAACCTGCCTGCGATGCGGGAGACCTGGGTCTGACCTCTGGGTTGGGAAGATCCCCTGGAGGAGGGTATGGCAACCCACTCCAGTATTCTTGCCTGGAGAATCCCATGGACAGAGGAGTCTGGCAGGCTGCAGTCCATGGGGTCGTAAAGAATTGGACACAACTGAGCGACCAAGTACAACACATAGCATGTTCGGGATCTAGATAATAAAGTATAAACAAAAAGCTGAACACACATCTTGAATTATTCAAATTTTATGATGGTACTAGAGAGGGCAATGGCACCCCACTCCAGTACTCTTGCCTGGAAAATCCCATGGACGGAGGAGCCTGGTAGGCTGCAGTCCATGGGGTCGCTAAGAGTCAGACATGACTGAGCGACTTCACTTTCACTTTTCACTTTCATGCACTGGAGAAGGAAATGGCAACCCACTCCAGTGTTCTTGCCTGGAGAATCCCAGGGACGAGGGAGCCTGGTGGGCTGCCGTCTATGGGGTCGCACAGAGTCAGACACAACTGAAGCGACTTAGCAGCAGCAGCAGCAGCATGATGGTATCAAAGAGTTGGACTGAAATATATCTGTGCTTCATGAACTTTAAAGTTAATAAGAAAAAACATCTACAATGCATTCTTGTCTTTAAGTTAAGGGTTCAAAATTGTACTTGCCTAGTAATGTCTTCTCAAAATGTGGTAAACAGACCAGCTTCATTAGAATCCCCTGAGAGAACTTATTACAGATTCCCTCCCTATACCAGACTATCTGGGGAGGGGCCAGGTAACATGTGTTATAAAGAGCTCTATGCCGTGTTGCAGAAACCAATACAACATTGTAAAGCAATCATCCTCCAATTAAAAATAAAATAAATAAATAAAAGAGTATCCAGTGGTCACTTTCAGAAACAATGATTTATTGTATAAACTTAAAAAACAACTACACTTCATTTAGTCAAAATTTTCTTAAAGTGCCTTATATGGAAGAAAAAAGTCCTAGTAATCAGAATTTTTCACTAACCTGTAGTAGTTTTCCCTTAGTGCAAAGGGTAATAGCTTGGGAATAAGGAAATCTATTTCTCAGGCTAGGTTATGCTTTTTTCCCCCTTTCAATGCTCATTCTATTTCTAAATTCTATGATAATTCAAATTTTTGCTAAATTAAATGAGAAACATCACTTCAATAATTAAATAATTTGTTTTCAGCTAAAGAAAGATGTTTTAAATTTCATTCTAATATAGCACAATCTGAATTTCTAACATTAAGGATTTCAGAAAGCTAAAGCAACAAAGCAATTCCTTACTTTTATTTTGCAATATGACACTGACCCAGCACTTCTCAAGCTGAAAAACAAGTAGGTAAAAGCAAAGCTTCAACAAATTTTATCTGTACTCAAGTCAAGTAACATTTTTTGGAGACTCTAAATCTAATTTAAGTACTCACCAGTAAAAGACTTACCTTTTCTACTAGTGGTATTAACTGCTGGTGTTCTGCTAAAGTCTTTAACAATTCCATAATGAATGGCAGGTAATTGTGCTTCCTTCTGATATTTTCAATCTGAAAATAAAACACATACCAAACCACACTATTTTCACTAAGTTTCTGATATTTTAATTTTGGGATCCAGCTCGAAATAGAAATGAAAGAAAATCCTACATTATCATTAAGAAAAGCATTAGAAGTAACGAGATTTTCACTGCCACTGAGAATAAAGATTAATTACAATAAAATATGTGGAGAGAGTTCTCTGGGGTACAGCATCCTACTCTTGGTTTAGCAAAAAACAGAGGCTTTTAAAAGTCTAATCGTAGATAATCTATGAAAACGTAACTCATGAAAGCAAACTAAGAAGGCCCACAAGATAAATTAACACTCCTGCTATTACACCTATGCAAACAATAAGGCCAGTGTTATTGTGTGATTAAGAACAATCTTTCTTTGATTATTTTTGACCAAAAGGGAATAGCTGTAGGGAAAAATCCGTGCTTCTGGTAGAGTTTCAATTTACTTCCCTTTCCATAAGAAAAAAAAGTTTCCATCTTTTGCAAATTCATTTCGGCATTCCTACAGTTCATATAAATTTGAGCTTCTTTGACTTCTCCTTTGAACTAGTTGTGACATCTTACAGGTTTGCTCAATTAATGAAGTAAACAAAATTTTAGCATGTTTATTTTATATCTGGTCTGAGAATTCTTTTTGGCTAAATTCTTTAGCCCAATTTTTGAACAAAGCATTCTCAAAGCAAACATTCTAAACTCAGTGTTATATTTAAGGCAAATATGAAAAATTAATTATGTAACAACACTGCACCAGAATACATAAATAGTAGGAAGTTTTTTAATACCACATAAAAGAGAAGATAACATTCAAGCTTTCATCCCTTACTTTCCTGTCTCCATGAATTTGGCCCTTCTTTTTCCTGTTTGGAACATTCTGGAGCCAGCCCCTACCACCTCCACCTAAAGAAATCCTACTTGCCCATTGTACTTTAACAAGCATATTGTTGGCTATTAATTATGTTACAAAGCAACATTCTCACACTATGGTAAACAACAGAAAGAAGACCAATCCCTGCCCTTAACTGAGCTTCAGGTGAAAAACTGCTTTTCCTACTGTGACAGACATGATAGATCACCTAAGTACTGTTTCCAACGTCCTACAAAACTAAGTTTCCTTCACTCTTCTCCATCTCTGAAAAAAGTTTATCAGACAGACTGCAGATGAAGAAAAATGATATAATTGAAGATAGGCTTGCTTAGTATTTGACCCTGAGTTATATAATGGTTGACATAATTTAAAATTTTTTAAATCCTAAAAAAATTAGAAAGAAAATTTTAAAAAATGAACCCAGCTATGTACTAAACTGCCGACAGAATGACACCAAGAGAAAATTTTCTCAAGTGAATTTTAAAATATGCTAGTTTGATTGCACATTCAAAATGAAATATATCCTAAGGAAAAAAATTAAGAGAACACTTCTCAGTTGTTAACACTACGCATTGCTATTCTGAACCTTTTCATACATATATACATACACAGATAGCAGAAAGCAAGTAAGTAATTATGTTAATGCTGACAGAAACCAAGATTTTCAACTGAAAAGACACAAATGCTTAACTTTAAATATAAAGTCCTTTAATCCTCAGTTCGAGTATTAACATGAATTCAAATTGTAATTTCTCTTCAAAGATAAAACAAGAAACAAGTAAAAACGTATTTCTTGTCTCTGAAAAGTCCTGGAAATAATGAAGAATCAATATTGCTAAGCACCCTGAGCAACCAGATAATGGTTTCGAAACACCATTTCTCACCTAAAGCACTTAGGACTTCTTGAAAAAATGGCCAATTTCAAGTCTGAAGCAGGAAATGTACAAGATAGAGTCTGAAACATCTTGTCATGCTAGGAAGCAAGGAAGCTATCAGACATGAAGACAGTCAAATCCAAAGAACTTGGGAGACAGCCTGATGTGGCTCCTAATGGCCAAAGATGGGGTAATTTGAGCATTAAAAATAACTGCAGTGAATATTAGCAACAGATGTGCTAAATATCTGTTCATAGTCATACTTGAAAAAAATAAAAAGGAAAGAAACCTTACTAGTTACCTCTGTAGGATGCCAGGCAGATCAACACATTCTGAAAACACGTAAGTGATGGGGAGAAGAGTTCAAGCAGTCAATACACCTTCACTACATAGAGTAGTCAAAATACACTACTCTATGTTAAAACGTTAAGGAACAAAAGAAAAATACCTACCTTATATCTTTTTAATTTCTGTACTTCCTCTTCAATAAGCATTTGATTTTTGGCAACCTCTGACTGAATAGCACTTAACATATTACTGCCCTGATCTGTATCCATGGGTTCCTCCTTGGGGAAAAGAAAAAGAAACAGCACACCCTAATAACTGAGGCTTAAATCTAAAACATTTTTATTTTTTATTTTATTTTGATTTATTTTTTTTTTCATTTATTTTTATTAGTTGGAGGCTAATTACTTTACATCATTGCAGTGGTTTTTGTCATACATTGAAATGAATTAGCCATGGATTTACATGTATTCCCCATCCCGGTCCCCCCTCCCACCTCCCTCTCCACCCGATCCCTCTGGGTCTTCCCAGTGCACCAGGCCCGAGCACTTGTCTCATGCACCCAACCTGGGCTGGTGATCTTAAAACATTTTTAGATAGTACAGTCATTTCCCAATTTTGATCTTAATATTGGTGATGGAATATCAGCTTAATAACTGTAATACTAAAGGATGAAAGAAATACTTATTTAGGGCTTATAAGTAGGTATAAGGAAGAAGTAGTATTTCTCCCAAATTTCCGTGTTCTACAATATATAAGAATTTTTACCTAAAAACCATCCATTGTATAATGTAATGAATTGTTACAATCTTCTGTTAGCTATAAAATAAATGTGCTTAAACATACTCAGGAAAATGTGATCAAAGAAATGTAAACAAGTCTTTGTCTATTACTAATTCTCTTTGCCAATCCTATTTACTAGAAAGATAATCATCATAAGGAATAACAAAGATTACATGTGACTCTAATGTATCCAATTAATTCTGTAACAAATATATTCTAACTTGCTTAATTATATAATAAAATTATAGTAAATAGTTAATTGTAAACACTTATTTAGTACATACTTTTGTCCATCATTTTTTTGAAGTGGTTTGCGTGTATATATATATATATATATATATATATAAAATCTCAGTTATTCTTCACAACAACATTTAAGGTAAAGACTATTATTTTCACTTTATATGAAGAAACTGAGGCACAAAGAAATACACTCAAAATCATACTTTCACTAAGTGGCAAAGGCAGGAGCTGAATCTAGGAAGCCTTACTTCAGGGTGCATTATCTTAATCACCACTCAGGACACTTGATTAAATCTATAGTTTAGAAAAAGAAAGGAAGGAAAGAAGAAAAGAAAATAGTTCCCCTGAGAGAATAACTAGAACTTTGTACATAAAACACATGGCCACAAACCTCAGCAAGTTGTCTTTGTAACTCTGCTATCTTCTGTTCATAGATCATTTTTCTGTCAGACACAATGGCCATTAAGTTAAATCGAATTTCACCTTCACTGTACCTAAGAAAAAAAATCACAGTTTATACTGTAATAAAGAAATCTAACACTGTTATAATTAAGATAATCTATTTTGATTACTCCCTTATTCTCTGGGGTAAACACAAATCTACCAATTAGCTAACCATAAAAACTGACATTTTAAGAAAGCTTTTGTAAAGAGGAGACATTACAACCAATATCACAAAAATACAAACAATCATAGAGAATACTATGAAAAACGATATGCCAACAAATGGATAAATTCCTAGAAATAACCTTCTAAGACTGAATCAGGAAGAAATAGAAAAGCTGAAAAGACTGATTACTAGTTATATAATTGAATGAGTAGGGTTTCCTTGGTGGCTCAGTGGTAAAGAATATACTGACAACACAGGAGACGTGGGTTTGATACCTGGGTTGGGAAATCCCCTGGAGAAGGAACTGGCAACCCATTCTAATTTTCTTGCCTGAAAAATCCCAGGACAGACGATCCTGGCAGGCTACATGGGGTTGCAACAGTCAGACATCACTTAAAGACTAAACAACAAACAGTAACAACAGTTGAATCAGTAATAAAAATTAAAAAAAAAATCCCAACAAACAAAATCCAATACCAGATGACTTCACAGGGGAATTTTACCGAACATTTAAAGAACAGCTAATATTAATACTTATATTTCTCAAACTATTCTAAAAAAAATTAAGAGGAGGGAATACTTCCAAACTCATTCTGAGTGTGGCATTACCCTGATATAAAAATCAGAGACACTTCAGATAAAGAAAATTAATATCCCTGGTGAACACACACGCAGAAACTCTCAATAAAATATTAGCAAACTGAATTCAACAATACATTAAAAGGATCATACATCATGATCAAGTGGGATTTATTCTAGGGATATAAAGATGGTTCAATATACACAAATCAATCAGTGTGATAACTGCATCAACAAAACAAAGGAGAGAAATCACATGATCATCTCAATAGAGGCAGAAAAACTATTTGACAAAATTCAATATCCACTCATGATTAAAAACTCTTTAACAAACTTTGTATAGACGGAACATATCTCAACAGGGTAAGGACCAAGCCTACTGCTAACATCATACTCAATGGCGAAAAGCTAAAAAGCTTTTCCTCTAAGATCAGGAACAAGATAAGGATGCCTATTTTCACCACTTTTATTCAGCACAGTATTAGAAGTCCTAGCCACAGCAATCACACAATAAAAAGAAATAAAAGGCATCCAAATAGGAAAGGAAGAAGCAAAACTCACAATTTGCAGATGACATGAAACTAAATACAAAATACCCTAAAAACTCTATCAGAAAACTATTAGAGCTATTAATAGCTAATAAAAACTATTGCATTTCTATACACTAATAATGAACTATCAGAAAGACAAACCAAGAAAACAATTCCATGTACAATTACTTCAAAAAGAATAAAATACCTAGGAATAAAGTTAACAAATATAGTTAACCACATCTACAGGGTGAAAACACACTGAATAACTGAATTTATCAGCATAAACCATGGAGACCAGAAGGAAGAGGCATAATATTTCTCAAGTGCTGAAAGAAAAGACTATGAACCGGAAATAAAGTAAACTTCAAAGAAAATTACTAGAGAGGGACAGCATTGTGTAATGGTAAAAATGTCAATCGACCAAAATGAAATAGTGATCATAAGTGTTTATGCACTAAACAACAAATCTGCAAAAATATATACAGCTTTAAAAACTGATAAAACCAAAATTAGGAACAGGCAAATTCAAAACTGTCTCTGTTTGCAAATGACCTGATTATCTATGTAGGAAATGCCAAGGAATTCACAAAAAACTTCTAAAGCTGGTGGGTGAGTTCAGCGAGGTTGAAGGATACGAGACAAAGAAAGAAAAAAATTAAACTTTATTGCTATACACTAACAATGATCACATGGAAATTAATTAAAATACAGTATCATTCATTATCAGTCAAAAGAACATGATCTACTTGGGGTATAAATCTGAAAAAATATGTATGGAATTAGTATGCTAAAAACCACAAAATGCTGATGAAAGAAATTAAAGAAAATCCGAGTAAATGGAAGGTCATACCATGCTCATGGATTGGAAGAATCAGCTGAGTTAAAAAAAATACCAATTCTCCTAAAACTGATGTTTGACACAATTCCTATCAATATCCCAATAAGAACTTTTGTAGATATAAAATTACACTATAATTTACATGGAGGGCTGAATAACTATAACAGCTTTAAAGAAAAAGAACAAAGTTGGAGGCATCAGTCTATTGCATTTCAAGACTTATAATAAAGCTACAGCAATCAAGACTGTGAGGTACTTGCAGAGAAGAGAAAAACAGATCAATGGAACAGAAGAGTGAACCCAGAAACAGACCCACACAAATGTGCCCAACTGGGTTTTTTTTTACAAGGGTGCAAGAGCAGTTCAGTAAAGGGTAGACTTTTTTAACAAATAGTGTTAAACCAATTGAAAATACAAAGCAAAAAAATGAACCTGACCTAACTTCACATCACACAAAAATTAACTCAAAATACCTCACAGGCTTGTACATAAAATGTTATCCTCTAAACCCTTCAGGAGAAAAAGGGGAAAATCTTTGGGACCTAGGTCTAGGCAAAGATTTCTTAGATTGGACAACAAAAATACAAATTCATAGTGGGAAAAATTGACAAACTGGACTTGACTGGAATGGAGAGCTTTTGCTCTGTGAAAGACCACAGTGGCAGGATAAGTGGATGGGACCAGGAGAGACTGTTTTCAGTCAAGTGTCTGAGGAAGGACTGGTGATATCAAGAGTATATAAAGAACCTCAAGGCTCAACAGTCAGAAAACAAACAATTCAACTACAAAATAAACAAAAGGCATGATTTGCAACATTAGTCATTAGGGAAACTCAGATTAAAACCACAACGAAATATCACTACCCACCTATTAAAATGGCTAAGATAAAAAATTTTGACAAAACCAAATCCTAGCTAGCATGTGGAGAAACTGGATCACTTATACTATACCACAGGTAGAAATGTAAAATAAAATGTAAAATAAACTCTGGAAGAGTTTGTCAATTTCTTTTAAAAAATTAAACATGCATTTACCATACAGCTAGGTATTATCTCAGAGAAACAAAAACTTATGTTCACATAAAAATATGTACACAAATGTTTACTGCCACTTTATTCATAATAGCAAAAACCAGAAAATAATCCAGATGTCCTTCAATAGGTGAATGGACAAAAAAACAATAATAGACTATCCATACCATGGACTCATCTATAGAAAAGAAGGTACTATTGATAATACTAAACATCCTGGATGAATCTCCAAAGAATTACACTGGGTGAAAAGTCAATCCAAAAAGGTCACATATTTTATGATCCCATTTATGTAACACTCTTAAAAGTGACAGCAATTATAGAACTATGGATTAAGGATGTGGGGTGGAAGGGGGGGTTTAGTGGTTGCAGCTATAAAAGGGCATCATGAAGAACCACTGCGGTGATGGATTTATCCTGCATCTTGACTATATCAGCATCAGTACCTGGCTGTGACACTGTACCACAGTTTTACAAGATGTTCCTCCCAAAGGGTATAGGGTACACAGGACCTCTCTGAATTATTTTTACAACAATGTGAATCTATAATTATCTCAACATAAAAATTAATTTAATAAAAAAGACAGAGAGTCCTAAAACAATAAACTTCACAAAATAACTGTAAAAGTATCTACCTAAACAGAGATGTGCACGTTTAGCGCCTATAAAGACAACTTATTATTATGTAGAATTTAGAGATTTTTCTGTATGATTTCCTGAACATATTAATCCAATCCAAAGAAAAAGTTCAGTAAGTACTGCTAAAACAATTTTAAAAAAGGCTTAAAGAAATGTTTAAAAATGAGAACATTAGTTATGCCAAAAAGATAAGCTGAGCATTTACTTCTGTATCCTTTTTTCTATGACTGGCCTCACTGCGCTGATCCAATCATCTTGATTGCATGCACCTAGGAAGAAATGAAGCATTTACATCAGATTCGACATCAATATTATTTCAAGTTTATTCAAAGTATCTTTTTATTAATATTTTGGCAAATTCAGTATAGTAAAAAAACTTTTTAGCGTAACTATGTTAAGCTTCAACTCTTACTTTCTCAGTAATGATTAGGGGGAAATGATAAGTTATCATAATCTGCACTGTCACATTATTGTGTCACTTAGCAGTGCTAGACAAACGTTTGAGAAAGCAATGAATTAGGGAATTATTTCATCAAAACTCTTGTCTCAGTGAGATAAGGATGACTGCCTTTCATTTTACAAATGATGAAACTCAGGGCTAAGAAAAGTCTGCTCACATGTTAGTGACAAAGTAAGGATGAATCCTTATCTGACTCCCCACCATCACAACTATAGAAAAAAAAAAAATCCTGAAATCCACACACAATGCAAAACTGATTTTACCCAGTTGTTTTAATCCTCCCTTTTTACCTATATTTTAGTATAGCCACCAGCTGTGTAGCAAAACTGGCCGTTCTGTTTTATAGTTTACGTCCTTTATAGCTGATGGATCCAATGAATAGAGAATGGCTGACCAGACAGATGCCAAGAGAAAAAATGCAGAGATCAGATCAACCCCCAAACCAGAGAAAATAAACTTCTACATAATTAAAAGAACATTCTATTAATTTTCTTTAGGAAACATAGAAAAATAAATATTTTTAAACATGTAAATCTGCATTAGATGAACTATTGGTTCCAGACATGGGTGTGGGCAATAAGAATAAGCAAAATAAAACTGCAAATTTTTTTTTTAATCTGAAAGTATAAAGTTTTGTGAACAGCAAATAACATTAGATTTCATAAAAACAGGTTTCACTGGACTTAAACCTAACTTTAAAAAAAGAAGAAAAAAAACTTAATGAGGTGAAATATGGAGTTAAACTTCTTTTGTGGGCCTGTTAGTTCATTACTAGATCAGAACCACCTCAGCCTCGCTCAATAACCATTTATCATGAGCTCAAGGCTGGAGCTGGGGTGGGATCAGGACAAATTCACCCTTTGGCACAAAGGACAGCACATTACTACACTATTTAAATAGAAGCTTTGAAGAAAAACATTTCCATAGACTATTGAACAATGAATTACAGAGATTCTGAAAGATCTAAATCCAAGGGAAAATATTTTAACACAGACGACAGGGATGGGACAGTATTTCTTATCAATGACAACTTAGCTTCACTAAAAGAAGCAGTTTTTAAAAGTTAACTGAAAAATAAAAAATAAATTATGTAATCTAAGGACTAAAAACACTTTTCTCACAGGAAAAAATTAAAGGCCCCAATGAAACTACAGTAGTCAACGTGTCCCCCCGCCTGTTACCTAGTTTCATAAAGGACTGGGGAGCTTAAGGAGGCCACACCTCAGTCACCTCCCCTTTCAAAACCCATGCAGCACTGGGACTGAAACAAAGGTGAACGTTCAATCCTGTTTTCTTCGTCAAAACTGAAATGCCAGGAATAGGAACCATGTTACCTAAGTCAATCGGTCCTTCTCTTAATCCATCTAATTCATACAGCCTTCCATTAACAGGAACATAACTGACAAAGTGAAAAGCATCTTCTTCTTTTGCTGCTGTCTTAGCATCAAATTCAAACATCTGCTGTCTACAGGGAAGAGAAAAACAGTGAAAAACAAACCAGCAAAGATAAACCTGCAAATATTATATTTATTTAATATAAAGTATCTTTACCTGGCAAAACTGTTGTGCACTTGTCGGATCACATCTGAATTACTCAGCGCCAAACCTTTCATCTGAAATAAGTTTTAAAAGTAGCCTATTAAAATAAGAACCACCACAAACAGGGTATTTTAGGAATAATAAGATTGTACTCACAGCTGCATCAAAACTTTGTGAAAATTCTTTAAACTCTGATAATGTCTCTCCTAAATGGACATCTTGATGGGTACAGTTCAATAACACACTTACTATGGCTTGAGTAGCACAAGCATTATTAATTACCTATAAAATATAAAAGGAAATATATTATCAATGTGTTTAAAAAAAACCCAGCTTTCAACTGGTGACACTGACCCCTAAAATATGAAAAAAATAACAGCTTCCAAATTTTATTTAATATATCATTAGCATAAACATAATAAACATGATTAATGTCCACTTTTAATCTATTTTCAGGAATTTTCTGCAATTCTGGAGCTGAATCAAATAAATTAAATGAACTCATAATATCAGTGAAGACTAATCTAGTTAAGAGTAACAAAACCAATCTTTCCTGGTCTAAAATATACCTGATAAAACCCAAAGAGCCTATCCTTCCCTCCTATTCACTTCCTCCTAATAAGCCTGTTTCTACCTACAAACATTCAATCCAGATTTCAGAATCCAGTGCAAACTCTAACTTACATGTTTAATTATTAGAAAAATCATGCAACAATCTATATTAGTTTCTTCCCTCATTTGAATTCCTAAAAATGACAGCATATATGACAGTATACTGCCCACATATTTTTCAGTGCAATCTTTACAGCTCTGACCTCTAGCTATTAACTGTTAATTTAACCAATTGTGAGGACCTTACATTCTAGTGAGAGAAGAAAACATTTAGATAGCACTTATGTGCCAAGTACTTTCCTAGGCTTCTTTTAATCCTGTCAGTCAAAAGCTTAAGGAGGAGGAGTAATATTAATATCCTCATTTTACATTTGTGGAAGCTGAGGAACAAAGAGGCTAAGTAACTTGCCCAGAGGGCACAGAGCTAAGAGGCAGGTGATCTGATGTGAGAAACCGGCTGTGCTCAGCCAACACTGGAGGCTGGCTCCATCCACACTTGTGGTCTCTCCAACTAGATTATAGCCTGCTTACGGACAAGGGCTTCTGCCACGCTCCCTACAGCGCCTGCTCAGGGCTGCGATCACAGAGCTGGGAAGCGCCTCGGACCATCACTGCAAACGTCAGCTGGATTCACTGGAAAGTTAAACTTGATAAATTACTTTTAAAAATATAATTTATTCCTACTGCTATATTTCATTACTGCACTGTAATTAAAACCCATTTTCCAAAAATGTTAATTCATTTATGATCTTAAAATCTGGTAAATTATTTCTATCCTGCCTGATTTCAAAATAAAATCCTTCAATCATCTTCCTTCATTAACTCTTACACTCCTACACTTTTTTGTGGTCAGAGACTTTTGAAGTCTTATAAATATCCATGAGCTCTTACACTTTTGACTGCAATATGTTCAAGAAATTCCTTGATGAGCCTGCTTTTTCCATTAGAGAACACTCTCTTACTCTTAACTATCAAACAGCAATAACACCACACTCTTGAAATTCCCCTTATTACAGTATTTTGTCCTCAAATCTATCTTACGGTTGACGATTAGAGAAAAGTAACAGTAGATCTAGAATCCAATTAACATTGCCACTGACTTCTTTTAATATGTATTCTGATCTGAAGCACAGTTCTTTAGTAAATTTGGATGAAAATTTGAAATGATTAAAGGAGACATCATAAAGGTCATTAACTAAAACAAGACTTAGGGCTCTCTTATCTTGGGCCAAAATTATCTGGGGATGGGTTGGTAGGAGTGAAATCAACAGAAGTTAACATTTATACTCATTCACACATTCTTTCAAAATGATGACACATTAAAGATATACTCTACACCCAAAGCTACGCTAGACACTGAGGCTATAGCAGAAAATGCTAACAAACACTCCTATGATCTAAGAACTTCAAATCTGTAATCTATGACTCCAGAAAATTTTTGAAAGGATTAGTAAAGAACTCTATGCAAAATCATCAAACTGTATACATTAAATTTGCAGTTTTTTTGTATATCAGTTATATTTCAATAAAGTTGAGTTTAAAAAAAAAAGAGAGAAAATCATGTGGTTACTGATACTCCTCTTCTGGAGTTAATAAGGACTTAACAGTGTCCATGACTTACTACAGCCTGTTCTGTGTTTGTGTGAAGAACAGTCATTGTGTGTGCACGGGTGTGAATGCACCTCCTCAGGTTTTTAAATGAGTGTAGTGCCACCAAGTGGTAAGGCTATAAACAGCACATTAGTCTCACTCTTGGGCGAGATCTTCCAAGACCCCCAGGGGATGCCTCAAACATGCACAATGCCAACCCCGAAAAATAAAATGTTCTTTCCTATGGTAATGGGCTGGTAGCACCCACGAGGGGCAAAGGGATGCGTCACACCCCATGTGGGATGGAGGACAGCATGAGACTTTCTCACACTATTCAGAACAGCACACAGTTTAAAACTTGTGGTTTACTTTTGAAATTTTCCATTTAATATTTTCAGCTAGAGCTGACGGAAACCATGGAAACTAAAACAGCAGATATGGGGGGAATACCGCACAGAAGTAGCAAAAAATTCTTTTTCAGACACTAAAAAGTGCACAGCCATTCAGTTGTTCAAATATTTACTGAAACACCCACTGCGGGTCAGACACTGTGATAAACGCTGAACACACAGTGAACATAAGAGATGTGGTCCTTGTCCTCATGAAACATGTAAAAATCACCTTATATACATCCTTTTGGAAGAACTTTAACTTATTTCACAAAATAATTTCTGCAGTATAAATTATGTATACAGTCCCCAACTGCTTAAATCTTTAACTAGTCCTGAGCATTCTACTGAAAGCATTCTGACTTATCACACACTTAAATAAAGCAGTAGAGTCTAACAATAGAAGGAAGGCTAGACCAGGAGGTCACTAAGAATGGTTGCCCCAGAACCTGAGGAATTTGGTCTGAATACCTTGAAGAGGCCATATATTCTCTAGTTCATCTGAGCTCTTTCACTCTCTACCTCTTACACAAAATCCAATTCACACATTCATGCTGCCAATCTGATCCTGCAGCTAGCTACCTGACTTCACAACACACAGGCTAAAGAACAACTTCTTATCCTGGTGTACAGAAAAGAACATGGCAGATGCCTAGAGAAATACATATAAAACTGCCTGAAGTACTGCATTATAAATTATAGTCAATCTTCACTGAGTCATAGCTATAGGATAAATTAATAATTTTTTAATATTTATTAATACGTTATTTTCTTGGGCTCCAAAATTACTGATGGTAACTGCAGCCATGAAATTAAATGACGCTTGTTCCTTGGAAGAAACCTAGACAGTGAACTAAAAAGCAGAGACAGGACTTCCAGTTCAAGATGGTGGTATAGAAAAACGTGCACTCATCTCCTCCTGCGAGAGCACCAAAATCACAACTAGCTGCTGAGCGGCCATCGACAGGACGACACTGGGATCTACCAAGGAGACGCCCCACATCCAAAGACAAAGAAGCAGCCGCAGAAAGACAGTAGAGGGGCACAATCATGATAAAATTAAATCCCATTCCAGAAACGTGGGTGACCCACAAAATAATATCAAAGAAGTTCTCCCACTGTTGTGAAGGTTCTGAATCCCATGTCAGGCTTTCCAGCCTAAGAATCCGACAAAGGGACTGGGAATCCCCAGAGAATCTGACCTTGAAGGCCAGCAGGATTTGATTACAAGATTTTCACAGGCCAGGGGAAACAGACTCCAGTCCTGGAGGGCACAAACAAAACCCTGTGTGCACCAAGACTCAGAGGAACCGAGCAGTGACTCCACGGGATGCTGAACCAAAACTACCTGCTAGTGCTGAAGGGTCTCCTGTGGAGGAGTGGGTTGGCAGGGGCTCACCACAGGGATGGGGGTACTGGCAGCAGCAGTCTGGGAAGGTCCCCTTTGGCATAAACCCTCTTGGAGGTTGCCATTAACCAGACCATAGAGCCCGAAGACCAGAGGGTTGGGTCGCCTCAGACCAAAAAAACTACCAGGGAGGGAATGCACTTGGATTAAAGCTTACTGAGCAAGGTCCTGCCCACCAGAGCAAGAGCCAGTTTTTCCCACCAGTCCCTCCCATAAAGAAGCTTACACAATCCACTTAGCCTCCTCCGTCAGAGGGCAGACAGAAGAGAGAACCACCACAATCCCTCGGTAACTAAAACAAAAGCCACATTACAGAAAGTTAATCTGCATGAAAAAGCAGAAAGTTATGTCCCAGTTGAAGGGACAAGATAAAACTCTAGAAAAACAACTAAAAGGAGACAGGCAACGTTCCAGAAAAAGAATTCAGAATAATTATAGTGAAGATGATACAGGATCTCTGAAAAATAATGGAGGCAAAGATTGAGAAGATTCAAGAAATGTTTACCAAAGACCTAGAAGAACTAAAGAACAAACCAACAGAGATGAATAATACACTGGAAGGAATCAACAGCAGAATAACTGAGGCAGACAAACAGATAAATGACCGGAAGGAGAGAATGGTGGAAATCACTGCCGCAGAACAGAATATAGAAACAAAGAACGAAAATAAATGAAGACAGCCTAAGAGACCTCTGGGACAACATTAGACGCACTAATGTTTGCATTATAGGGGTCCCAGAAGGAGAAGAGAGAGAGAAAGGACATGAGAAAATATGTGAAGAGATGATAGTTACTTCCCTAACATGAGAAAGAAAATAGTCAACCAAGTCCAGGAAGCACAGAGAATTTCAGGCAGGATAAACCCAAGAAGGAATATACGGAGACATACAGTAATCAAAATGACAAAAATTAAAGACAGAGACAAAACATTAAAAGCAACAAGGGAAAAATGACAAATAATCTACAAGGGGAACTCCCATCAAGCCATCAGCTGATTTCTCAGTAGAAACTCTACAAGCCAGAAGGGAACGGCATGATATATTTAAAGTGATGAAAAGGAAGAACCTACAACCAAGAATACTCTACCCAGCAAGACTCTTCTTCAGATTTGATGGAGAAATCAAAAGCTTTCCAGACAAGCACAAGTTAGGAGAATTCAGCACCACCAAACCAGCATTACAGCATTACAACAAATGCTAAAGGAACTTCTCTAGATGGGAAAACAAGAGAAGGAAAAGACCTCCCTATAGAAAATAGGCCCCAAACATAGGGAAACAGCAACA